ACTTCCGTTTGTGACGTATTTACTGACTCCCTCTTATGTTTAGGGTTTCTTGTAAGTCGCCTTACATGTCAAATACTAGCGTACGTTTTCTCACGTGTGCAATGCAACGTAATGTGGAACAAAACACGCATGGCTACTTGTGTGCTGAGTGAACCCTCCAGATGTTTAAGATTTTTTAATCAATGTGCGAGTGGGGGGTGGGAGGGAGCCTCCGCTGCTTTGTATGGGAGGCGATTTTAGCGCAAATTACGCATCTCGAGCCGCTCAGGAAGGTACACGGCGTGCAAAGGGCTAAGCAGCTGGAAGACACAGGATGTTACGTAACAGGTTTGCCCATCCTACCTACCGCCTTGTTATTTCACTGTGGCCGGCAAGGAGAATGAAAGGAACTCGGGTGTACTGTGCAAGCTGAAAATATCGGTTTCATCGTAAGATTGCTTAATATTCCTGAAACTCAGTGTTCCTACATGAAGAGTACGATAACCAATTTCGTCCAGTAGCATGTACCGTTTTCCTCGCCTTTCCTCCGTTGCTCCCTCTTCACTAGAATACAAGGCAAGGGTACCTGACAGATGCTTTGGAAACGCGACACAGTCCAAATATTTGGGAACGGCAGTAACAGATCACAATCTGATTCAAGAGGAAATTAAGAGGAGACTGAACTCGGGCAATGCATGCTACCCTTCAGTCCAGAACCTTTTGTCCAAAAACATAACAATTAAAATATACAGAACTATAATTTTGCCTGTGGTTCTGTATGGATGTGAAACTTGGTCTCTGACATTAAGGGAGGAACATAGACTGAGGGTGTTTGAGAACAGGGTGTTAAGGAGAATATTTGGACCGAAGAGAGATCGACGGGAGGTTGGAGAAAACTGCACAATGAGGAGCTTCATAACTTGTACCCTTTTCCAAGTATAATTAGAATAATCAAGGCAACCAAGTCAATTTTGCAGACTCTGAATATTTTCCGAGATACGAACTCATTTACTGCTGCCCTTCAAATATATTGGCACTTCTGATTTTCGGCTGGGATCGGGTTTTCATGTCATAGATCAGTAATTTCTGGGGCACGCTATAGCATAGTTGGTTCAGGCACTATGCTGCAAGTGTGAAGGTCCGGGTTCCATTCCTGATGTCATTATATTTTCAGTTGACCTAATCCTTCCAGCCGCTCTATGGCCCTAGGGTCGACTCAGCTTCTAACAGAAATGAGTACCAGGAATCTTCCTGCGAGTTATGGTCGCCCGGCGCGTAAGGCTGACATCACCGCCATCTGTAGTCAGTTGTCTAGAGAAAATGTGGGAACCTCGACGTCTCACAACCCTATGGGCCTCCTCGGCCTGTTACATGAATATTTTTAGGTTTTTATCAGTGACTTTGTAACCTCGGAAGCGCCTCCAAGGCGGACTTAAAATCACGAAGAAAAATTAATTTCTTACTTCCAAATCCATGTGAGATAATTCTCTTTTAGCTGCATGTAATAATCTCTCACGTAAGCGGCTTTTCAATTACAATAAAACTTGGTTATAGCAACATCGATTTCTGCGACACCTTGTCTATTGCGTCAAATATTCAATGGTACGAACTAATTCCTCATAAAGCAACTGTTTTTATACCTTGCTTAGTACGACATGCACAAATGCATCAACCTCGTATGTAACGTCATTTTCATTCCTGAATTTCTCTGATATGGACATTGAACGTAATTTAGAAAGTGTGTATTGGGCAAGTAACATGAAACAGATGAAGATAACTGATTACTGTACTCGTATCTAGGTACAGTAAGGCACAACAATTGATGTAATCTACTGTAATTTGGTGAGTAGGCCTACCTTTAATATACAGTATTAGTGCGGTGTGTATTGTCAGTGAAAAGCGCTGTAATATGTCTTTGATATTATACATTTGGGCAATTCCACGTTAATGTTACGTTAGTCTGTACTTAACTACGTATTTCACTAAAAAATGCAACATTTTAACTCGGTTTTTGGTAGATTTTTACGTGAGTAACATAAGGCTACTGTGGAAGTGCCCATTTCGGTTACAACGACATTCGTTTATAACGACACTATTTTTAGGTCCCTTTGATGACGTTATAACCAAGTTCTACTGTATTTAAATGTTTAGATATCAATATTTTGGGCATTGTTCATCACGAAATACAAAAAAAAAAAAAATCACCGTGCAGCGTTTATTTTAAGAGTTTTTCATTTTTATTTTTACTCTCGTGGTGTGGTGCGTTGGGCCCCCGGCATAGCACCAGTTGCAACGTAGTTGACCACAAGCAGGAATGCAGAGGCGAGCCTAGAGCATTGCAATTGGGGGGGGGGGTTATGCCGAAAGCATATGGGCAGTTGTGACCCACGCTGCCAGGGTACTGTGGCTGTTGCACGTCCTCATAACCTCGTTATGTCCTTATCCTGCAGTTATTTCTACTCTACTAGCGTCAACAGTGAAGCACCAGGGCTAATGGCTGAACTTCAGCCCTCTGGACATTGTTTCGGGTAGGAAAAGTAAAGCTATCCCTGTAACAGGCCCTGGAGGCCCACAGGGTTGTGAGACGTCAAGGTTCCTACATTTTCTAGACAATCGGCTCAGAGATGGCGGTAAGGTTTTCAGCCTTACGCGCCGGCCGCCCTTTACCCCCAGGAATATTTCTGGTACTCATTTCTGTTAGAGGTTGAGTCGACCCCAGGGCTAAAGTGCGGCTGGAAGGATAAGATCAATTAAAGAAATCCAATGACTTCATCGGGAATCGAATCCGTGACCTTCCAACTTGTTTGAAATTTAGTGAAGTCACAGAAGTTTATTGGAATTATTTGAGATTTTCCATTTCGAATGGAGTTGCTGTTTCTTTGAATGTCATGTGTCCGTGATATTTTCAGTAACCCGCCCTGAAGAAGGAGAACGGAAGTCGCTCCGAAGGAGCATTAGACCACAGCGACATTACACGGCTGTGACTGATGAGCAGATAAGGAACTTGAGGACCACAGTGTTGGCTTGTTTTAGTTCACACTGTCATTTACCAGAAATGACTGATGAAACCCATGACGAATGTCAGCCATGATTTTCGGGATACCGGCTGAGATGCGAAAGGATCATTTCTTGAATGAAAGTCTGGAGGGTTCGTGCTAACTAAACTTGGGGATAATAATCTCGACAGCAGACATCGATAGATCGAGCTATCAGCAGACTTGGACAAGGGGTCTCGGTGGGTCCCAGCGTGCAACAAAGGCGACATTTCTTTTGGCCTGTCAAGGTCATTCCTTCACCTCCTCCCCCTCCCCCCTATTGCTGATCTGTAGGGCTGCGCTCGATACCTGCGCAACCTACAGCCCTGCTTCTTCACAAATAGTTCTCAGGGCGGTAGGAAGTAAGTGGAGGGCTGGAGAACGGATAATGACCTTGACAGGTCAGAGTAAATGCCCCAGAAGCCAGTTGTTAAACACTCTTACAGGGATTTTCACCAAGGGTTATGTGTCTTGGTGCAGGAGTAGGAAGAGCATGAGATGTGACGCCGTGTACTCCGGTAGAAATTGATCCAACTTTCGGAAGAACTTATTGTCTCCGTCTTCAGCATCGAGAGGCCGGCCAGACATTAGCGGCAGCAGACAGTAAACGCTTTCGGTTTTATGGAAATTAGTTCTTAATAGAACTGCCATAACAGCCGTATCGCTTAAAGAACTGTGTAAAAACGTTTACGTATATGATTCAGCGAGGTTGCCCTCGTTCCTTTACTTAGGCGGCTATCAGCAGAGAGTCGACCGAAACACGCAGTTCAGAACTTTACTTGAAATACTTGCCGGAGCCTTCTGTAGGGATAAACTTCTCAGTTACTTACACCAGTCTTCCTTGGTCGTTGCCACGAAACGGCTCATGGAATGCCACGGAACGCAGGACAGTTGAGGAGTTGTATTCGTGCATGCGTTGTTGGTCTTTATGCTTCCTCACACTTTTCATTCGCGCCATTCTTAATATTCTGCATTCCATGAAACTGGCTAACAGCATTTCAAGAAGGACTCATAATGACAGGAGTGCAAGTGAGATTACATTTAACTCTTGTGCCTTCAATGTGAACAGCATCGCCGCAGTTGCAGTTTAACACAGGAATACCGGCACAGCATCATAAGCCGGCAGGGTGAGTGAAGTTCCACTTCAATTACCTCCCCCCCGGCGCTGTAGCTCAGGGTGAGCTTTGACTTCCTGACCAATCTGTCCCCATTCTTCTATAGTCTTCATCTTTCCTCCCGATCCCTCCTTCGCTGAAGTCGATTTCCGTTGAATCCATTCATCCATCCGAGGATGTTTATCTGGATTCTAAACAATTTAGTTTTTACCTGTCCTGCATGGATGACTCTACCAGTAGCTACGCCACCGCCAGCATAGCTCTCGGGGTCTCAGGAGCACTCAAACCCTACCACCATCGGTGGGGCTCTTCAATTACCGCAGTTTGTAAATTGTCTCTAAATGCTTATCAACGGAATAGAATTCACAATGCGGCACGCTAGGACTCGAACTTGCAGTGATATATCAGTGTTCCGCTGTGAAGCGCCAGTGTTCCGTTATGACCGGTCAGTGTTCCACTGTGACGCGTCAATGTTCCGCCATGACGCGCCACTGTTCCATTATGACGGGTCAGTGTTCCGCTGTGACGCGCCAGTGTTCCGTTATGACAGGTCAGTGTTCCGCTGTGACGCGCCAGTCTTCCGCGGTGACGCGTCAGTGTTCCGCCATGACGCGCCACTGTTCCATTATGACAGGTCAGTGTTCCGCGGCGACGCGTCAATGTTCCGCCATGACGCGCCACTGTTCCATTATGGCGGGTCAGTGTTCCGCTGTGACGCGCCAGTGTTCCGTTATGACAGGTCAGTGTTCCGCTGTGACGCGCCAGTCTTCCGCGGTGACGCGTCAGTGTTCCGCCATGACGCGCCACTGTTCCATTATGACAGGTCAGTGTTCCGCTGGCTAGCTTACGTGCGAATGTTGATATGCCTCAGGTACCTGGGCTTGGTGGGCGTGACGCCGCAGCTGCAGCAGCACCAGCCGCAACCCGCACCTGAGTCCACTGAGCCACAGGAAGACCCACAGCTGGCAGCTGCGCGAGCGCTGTGCAGCTCCCTGCCAGGCCTGGCGGCGCAGCAGATCGAGGTGTGCATCCAGCACCCCAGCGCCATCCGCTCCGTGTCCAATGGCGCGCGCAGGGGCATCCAGGAGTGCCAGTACCAGTTCCGCAACGAGCGCTGGAACTGTACGACGCGCAACGATGAGCAGAGCGTCTTCGGCTACATCCTGGAACGCGGTAAGTGCACAAGTTGGGCAGAAACGGGAAGCGCCATGCAGCTCTCGCTCTTCCAAATGGACTTTTGTTTTCGAAATATAATTCTGGATTGATCCTCAGTCTTCCTCATTCTAGCCACATGCCCAACCTATCACGAACTCCTTGATGTCGTCACATTAATACTATTAACTAGCCTCTCGAAGTTTCTTTTTATTCAATACTTTACTTTGTCCACTGCTGCTGAAGCAGATTTCTTTTTGAGAAACTGATAGTTTCTCAGCTAGTCAAGAAATTCTCCATCCCTTACGGGACACGAATGCTCATTATCGTTTTCACAAGAACCCTGTACTGGATCCTAAGACTAGCCAGATGAATCCGGCCCACACAATATCCTCTTTGCTTACGATTAATGTTATCCTCCCATATCCGCGGGCGTGTCGCGTGTGGTATTTTGTATATTTCTCTTCTCAGCCTGAACTTCGTAGTTCTGAGGGCCACCTTTACGGTCACTTCAAGGTATGAGACTACTTTCCATACCAATACAAAACCACGAGCTAAACTCATAGCATTCTGAATGCTGGATGAGGCGGTAACAGTTTTGCACCTAATCACTAAAACAGCTTCCACGTCTTCCTTTCATCAGACTCATCGCACGCGTTTCTAGATCCGTGTACATCCACGTCTTCACTGGTCTGTAGAGGAACTGCCGACGGCTGTGGTGAGCTCGTGTGAACAGAAACCCACATTAACACTTTTATCTCGGATGTGGTTGCGAGGAAAACATGTAAACCACAAGCGTGCACCACATTTCATTTATTAGCATTCCGAATTATTTTGTAAGGTTTAATTTCACAGTGGTTTTGTAAAATGAAGGAGGCACGAAGTAGCGTAGTTGCTTGAGGCACTATGCTACAAGTCAGAAAGTCGCGGGTTCGATTCTCGACAAGTTCATTAGACTTCAATTGACCTAATACTTGCAACCGCACTGTGGCCCTGGGATCGACTCACCCTCGACTCTAACAGAAATGAGTTCCAGTTATCTTCTTGGGGGTTAAGAGCTACCGGCGCGGAAGGCTGGCAACCTTACAGCCATCTGTGTGCCGATTCTCTGGAAAATGTGGGAACCTCGACGTCTCACGATACTGTGGGCCTCCACGGCTTGTTACAGGGATAATTTTACACCCATTTTTTTTTTAACTCTCGACCGAAGGAATCCCAGGTTCAAAGTTTAGTAATTATTTTCTAAATGAGAACTGCCACCCAACGTCTTCAGACTACATAAAGCGATGTAGCAGGACACAACATTAATAGACTTTTTTTTTTCACTGGTTCTACAGCCCCCTTTGGGTCCTGGCCTCTGATTTTCAGTTTCGTGATCATTTTTACAGACGGTAGGACTCCTTGGGCGAGTGATCAGATCATCGCAAGGCCTCTACCTAAACACAGGACAACACAAACACAGAATTAAAACTTACCAGTACTAAATATCCATGCCCTGAGTGGGATTCGAACCCACGATCCCGGCTTCCGAGCGAGCAAAGACATTACATGCCTTAGACTGCTCGGCTAGCGTGACCGGCAATATTAATAGACCATATCCGACTAAATATAAGACATATTTTAGCGCGAATAGAAACAAACATTTTGTTCCATACGTCCATATGTTCAGTTGGTTGCAACAGTTTCGTGGCAGTGGAAAGCAACACATGCAGCACGCTCCACTGTTAGATTACAGTCCTGTAACGACAGATTTCAGACTACAGAGGTTGCATGCTGCTCAAACATTGTTACTGAGTCAGTGAGGGTTTGGGGGCAGGTTGCTGTGTCCTATCTGAAGGCACTTATTGTATTGAAAATAACATGGAAAGACCTGGTAACCCGGCCAGGATTTGAAGGGAACACCTCCTTAGCTGTGCCCTTGCCCAGTCCTGCTATTGTTGGGCTCCAGACCGTTACCGAAATGTATTGTTATCCTAGGTCACTTTATATATTCGGTCACGGTAGCCCAGCGGTCTACGGCATGCACTGTCTTCCGCTCACTCGGAAGCCGGGATCGTGAGTTAGAATCCCACTCAGGGCGTGGATGTTTAGTGTTTGTGTGTGTGTGTGTGCGTTTTTCTGTGTTTGTGTACAGGCAGAGAGGCCTTACGACGAGCTGATCACCCGCCCAAGGAGTCCTACCGAATGTCTAAGATCTAGTAAACCGAAGTGAAACGAGGTAGGCCAAGGCCCAAATTGGGGCTGTAGCGTCAAAAAAAAAAAACCGTGATACGAAGGCCATTTTGTGTTTCTGTTGGTTCGGGGCGCTCTCATTGTGTCCGTACTCTTGGGAGTCGGAATGAAGCCAAATTGTCTTTGTAATGAAAATAACAGTAACAATAAAAAGGTAAAGCTACCCCTGTAACAGGCCGTGGAGGCCCAGAGGGTTGTGAGATGTCGAGGCTCCCACATTTTCTAGACAATCGGCTCACAGATGGCGCCGGCCGCCCTTTACCCCCAAGAATATTCCTGGTACTCGTTTCTGAGAACCTCAGTTCTCGCAAATCCTATAAAATATTTGCGCAAGGGAATGCCATTTTTTATATTCGAACCCAAGCCTTTCGAATAAAGGCCAGACGCCTTACCGCACTGTCCGCATCTTGGCACTGAAATAGACTTATACATGCACTGAACCCGCGCGCCATGTATTTTCAGATGCTGCCAACTTAAAGCAAAGTTTGTTAGTTTGAACCCCAGTAGAACTGCTTCTCTGCGTTACTCACACAATACACAGTTTGTGGGGACAATATGAATTGTACTTTGTATTGTTTGCATAGCGTATGCATCAAAACTCTCTACCCTGAAGATTGAGATAGCAAGTTCCTTCGAAACGATAATGAGTATCTACCAGATTAAAAGGCGTCACATTGTTTAAGGCAGTATTCACACCACAACATTATTTCGTAATTGGGCGTTATTTTGAAACAATCAGTGATCAGATTATATTACGTTATAAAGCAGCTTCACCTTTGACGAAACTGTCGATATTCGATGGCCGTTGTTCCTTCTGAAGAGTACGTCATCACGGAAAACACAATGTGCCATTTCAGACAATTGAGGGGCCCGCATACGACATAGCCATTATTTCCTTTTCACATTTACATTGCGCAGTTCAGATCGTAACGGTTTTATGGAGTGATTATAGACGGGGTTTGCACTGGTAATTTCATTTAACGGAAACTTAACAGAACGTAACTACAAGTAACTATAGCGCCATTGCTAATTCACACACTCAGCAGTTCACTACAGCACGCACTAAGTCGTCTCAGTCGTTGTCTAGTAACGGCTTTCAACGCCGTAGATCCCTCAACTTCCATGTTCACGGCTTCACGTCCTCGCTGGCTGTCGCCTAACTCACTGCAGCCCCCGAGCTGAACTAAGCGGCTTCCAACTGCCGAAATTCATCAAAGTCAAAGTCACATTGCGACTGACGGTCGGTCAGTCAGTCAGTAAGTCTTGGTTCCGAGCCTCATCTGGGGCTCAAGACCAGATATTTATTACTGTTTGACTGTTACGGTCTTGTTTTTGTGGGGCGCCCTCTGTGACGAGAGGACGGGTCTGTCTTTTGTATATGCTGCTGGTCCCTGCCAGCGCAGTCTTTCTCGGGTCCCAGTCCCTTCTAACTCGCGACCATATTTTACTGTCTCAGATTTGAGACTTCCCTTTTCGTCGCCTCCTACGACTCGCAGGGTCACGGTGGAGGTATTCGACCCCGCCTCCACACGGGTTGAAATCAGTCAAAAGTCAAAGTCAGAGTTACTTTACAACTGGCGGTTTACCGCCAATCATTTCGTCTTGGCACCAAGCCCCGTGAGACTCACGACCAGAGATTTCTTTTTCAACTGAGCCCTTTCGGCCATAGTCCTCATGTAGCCTCTCTGACGAGAGGGTGGGGTTGTCTCTTATGAATACGCTGGCCGTTGTCAAGTGTACATACCGCACATGTCGCTTGGTACTGAAAATTCCTCCTTTTGCACTATATGCACGTTCTCTGTAAGTACAGGCTTTACAGAGCAGATCATGTCTAACTTACATATCTTATGCTACAACGGCAGCTTAATCACTTGATCGGTGGAAGGCTTGACCTCCGAAAAGTTTAAGCCTCCTATATTTTCTGTCTGATTTCATCTTGTTCAATATTGCGAACATGTTCATTCTCATGATTCTGTATGACTTCTGCTTGTTGCCTGCTCAATTTTGTTATATAGTCATATACGTACGGAGCAATGAAAGCCGTGTGCAAGTCGCGAACTGGTGTGTGCCTTGGAAAATTGCCAGTGGCGCGGAGAGCCTTGTTTTGTAACGCGCAATCGAATCCTTTTGTAGCCTCGGCACGGACCGCATAGAAAACAGCTCCCCAAGAGTTATGCTATCGTAGTATCACGAGGCTATCACTCGGACCGCGTAGAGAACACCATTCGTGTTTACTATTTACGGCCGTTACCTAGCAGCAGCAATGGAAGAGTACATGTACCGACAGTTTGAATATCCAAGGAAGTTGCAGTCAGACACCGCGATAATTCGGTTTCTTGTGCGTCCTGCCCTAACCACAGTCAGTTTAAGTTCAGACAATCATTTTATGGTAATGTTGCAGAGTTGCTTCACTTCATTTCCACAGCATCGCACCCTCCCTGCCCCAATTGCCCCCCCCCGAGTAGCTAATGCAGCGAGAAACAACAAAGCAAAAGCGAAAGCCCCCTCCCCCCCGGCAGATATGATGCTGTTGCCTTCTCATCACGCGGCGCGAAAGCTTTAATTTAGTAGCTCCTCGCGCCGAACAATGGTCATGTGGCCGCGCTCGGAGCCACGGAGAATTGTACGTCCAGAAGTTGGTCACGCCTGAGCAGAACCGGAAATGAACCGCATAAATATGCCACAAATACACACACCGCGTGGAGTCCATGTGCTCAGTTTACTTCGTTTTCCTCAGTAGCTTCGCATTTCACAACATATGCGCAGGACCTAATGCCTGTATTTGTTCTATAGACATACGGGGCGGGGGGGGGAAGTAGGTATAGCGACTGGCTGCGGGTTGGAAGATCGATGGGTCGGAGTTCGAGTCCCGGTACAGCCAAGAATTTTCTCTTCCCTACTTCGTCCAGACTGGTTCTGGGGCCCACCCAGTCTACTATTCAATGGGTACTGGGGGCTCTTTCCGCCTGTCATAAAGCAGCCGTGACGTGAAGCTCACCACTCACCTCCAGCTAGTGCCAAGGTCAAGAAAATGTGGATCTATACATCCACTGCCCCATACGCCTTCATGGTGTAGTGCTTAATTAGTTAAGCACAGGGACGGCTTTGCTTTTTATGTGAAGAGAGAGTTGGTCCACGGGACAGGACTTCAGTAGGTAGCTCCTGAATGCTGGTCGGATTGTAGCGCGAGAACACGAGCATAAATTAGAAGCATTCCATTTATAATTTGCGCTGTAGGATTCATGTGAAATTTATGGTCTCAAAATTTAAACCTAAAAATTGGTAATGGAGGTCAAAGGATTTTTCCTGGCTGTTAGCTCCTGCTTCTCTCACATTGCTCTCCCTCTTCCTTCTTCGCCCTCCTTCATGGTAAGAAAGGTATCTCACCCATATTCTTCCGTTCCCCTGTCTCATTGTCTCATTCTCTCCTCTTTCTTTTGTCCATTCTGCCGCCATTCTCCCACTTCCATCCTATCCCTCCTTCGTCTTATAAATTCTTATTCCCTCTATCCTTTTATCTCCTTCCCTCCTTTTATCCTACTCTTTTCCAACCTTTTTATTTTACGATCCTTTCGTCTTCTCTCCATATATTAACAACGCCAGAAGATAGCTTCTGCTCTTAGTCGTATCCTAGCAACGACGGAAAGTAGTTCTCGATTTTTCATTTTCGTAGTAACGACTCTTGTTTGTATCCGCGGAAGTGGATACAAACAACAGCAACTTCCGTACTTCTGTTACCCCTGGAAGCGTGGCTAGGGTTTTCCGCATAAAAACGGACTGCTCCTCTTGAAGCTGCAGTTCACGTCCGCAACATCTGCACCCATGAATTAGCGCGGAAAGAAAAGCAGTTACGTTCTGACAAGCTGCTGCCCCAGCGAAGAACAAGTTTACGGCTTTCCTAATGGCTGATTAATCCCGCAAGACGGTAGGGCACTTGCTAGGTACTTGAATATTATTCTTGTGTTTCTGTGTCTAGTGCCTACCGTTGGTGATAATCCGCTTCTCATATTAGTGGCTTGCCAACGTTTCCGTACCCGTGGCTGTTGCCATCATCAGGATAAAAGTCCGAGGGTTTCCAAGCCCTTGCAGTGTGACTGTGACACAGAGGGGTGACCTTCAGGTTGTGGGTCTGATGCTTCAAGCACGCGGTTGCTCCCCTGCTGGACAGCTTCCCGCTGCACTGTTTCACCCAGCTCTCCTGTGACTAGTCCGTGGGACATAAGCAGAGTAAGTCAAGGCTAAGCAGCTGTGCATACTGGACCAGTAAGGGCCATGTACAGACGGCACACGTGTTCTCTACATAGGCAGAATTATAAATATTGTGACATGACGCTTGAAGGCCGGAATAGTGGAGCCAGAGTACACTTTCATTGCTAGGCAACAGCTCGGTAAATACGTTCCCGCGGCAATGAATACACAAACAACAATAGAGGTATTGTTGGAAACGATGTTCTCTATTGGGTCCGTGCAAAGTGGTTACAAAAAGGAGAGCTGAGGTTTGGAGACAGACTGACTGACCGTCAGTCGCAATGTGACTTTGACTTGGAGGCGGGGTCGAATACCTCCACCGTGACCCTGCGAATCGGGGAGACGAAAAGGGAAGTCTCAAATCTGAGACAGTAAAATATGGTCACGAGTCCCAAGGAATTTGGACCCGAGAAAGACTGCGCTGGCAAGGGCCAGCAGTATATACAAAAGACAGACCCGTCCTCTCGTCAGAGAGGGCGCCCCACAAAAACAAGGCCGTAACTGTGAAAGAGTAATAAATATCTGGTCATGAGCCCCAGATGGTGCTTGACACCAAGACTGACTGACTGACCATCAGTCGCAATGTGACTTTTACTTTTGTTTGGTAGTGCTGTGTACTGTTGAGCTCTGCAAGGGAGGCCGAGAAGAGATGGCGATCCAGTTCAGTTGAGGGGATAGCTGGCAGGCAGTTCTGAACCAGAGTCGGCGAAGGACGGACCTGAGTGCTGAAAGCTGAAGAATCTCCATTGTTAGAAGCCGTTGCCAGGGAACCCCTGGTTAAGACACAGCAGGCTGGAAAAGGTTTAGCGGTTGCTGTGGAGAACTGTAAAGCGTGGAAGTCAGCGGTAGCGCTGTGAATTACTTGTAGTTCTAAGTCGTGAGAGTATTAAGTGCAATCAATCCAATCAGCCAATCCATCTATCTATCTATTTGTCTATGTCTCTACAGTCCTTTTGTCGGGCCTTGGCCACTTTTTCGCGTTCTTAATCCTATACACAGTCGGTAGGACCGGAACCCCCTCCCATCCCCCGAAATGTGTGCCAGCTCTTTCCAGCCTTGAAGAAGAAGTCGGGAAGCCGTAGAAGCGCTAATTTGGGTGCGTAACTTGAGTCCTATGTCATGTTAAAATTGATAGGCTATGTCCACTTCTTGTGCTGCTTCCAACTGCGTGATCGAGCCTAAAGATGGGGAGAGAGCAGGTTCCTCCGAAACGTCCGTATCTGCCAACGTTACCACACGGTCTCATAGCCCATGACAACGAAATCAAAATAGTTATTCGCCGTGAAAGTGCATGAGGACGTGGAGGGAGAGTCCATGAAATCTAGACATCTGCAGTAGCACAGTCACGCCCCGGTGACGTCACCTCCGCGGACATGGTCACAAAGAGACATAATAAAAGGTGAAACTATTCCTGTAACAGGCCGTAAAGGTCCATAGGGTTGTGAGACGTCGAGGCTCTCACATTTTCTAGACAATCGGCTTACAGATGGCGGTGAAGATGTCAGCCTTACGCGCCGGCTGACCACCAGGAAGATTCCTGGCACTCATATCCGTTAAAGACTGAGTCGACCCCAGGGCCATAGTGCGGCAGGAAGGATTAGGTCAATTGGAAATTCCAATGGCCTCTTGGGAATCGAACCCGCGACGCTCCCACTTGTAGCGTAGTGCCCTCTCTTTGGGAACAGAAGAGAAGGGCAGGACCCAGTACACAAGACAGGACCCTCACTGCAGAATCCTGTGACGCCTCTTTGTCACCTTGTACTTCGCAGCGGGAGGAGCTCTCTAGGACCGCGTTATGTTACTGATGGCGAGGTGCGGTACACTCGTGCCTTTGCCAGAACACCGCCCCCTCAAGTCAGGCGGGGGCCACTCTAGAAGCCTGAAGTTAATGCAACTTCCATTACTTTGAAACGGAATTCGGGGCCGTGTTTAAAGCACAATTTCACGAAATTACTCCCTGTTCCTTCCCTTTGGAGCATGAAACATAAGCAACTGGGTAAAGCAATGTGCTGCAAAAATTGATTGCATCGTTTTGCGGGGAGGTCATCCGGATTAATGAAGCAAAAGATTAGGAAACAGATAAACGGATAATCTAATAACATTAGTACTGATGAAGCTACCATTCAGTCCAGAACTTTTGTCTTCTCGTCTGCTGTCCAAACCATAAACATTAGAATATACAAAACTAAAATTTTGCCTGTGGTTCTGTATGGGTGTGAAACTTGGTCTCTGACATTAAGGGAGGAACACAGACTGAGGGTGTTGAGGAGAACATTTGGACCGAAGAGGGATGAACTGACGGGAGGTTGGAGTAAACTGCATAATGAGGAGCTTCATAACTTGTACTCTTCCCCAAGTATAATTAGAATGATCAAGTCAAGGAGGTTGAGATGGACAGTGTATGTAGCACGAAAGAGGAGAAGCGGAATGCATATAGAATTTTGATGGGAAAGCCAGAAGAAAAGAGATCACCAGGAAGACCAAGACGTACGTGGGTGGATAGTGTTAAAATGGATTTTAGAGAGTAAGATTGGTGGTATGGACTGGAATGATCTGGCTCAGGATAGAGACCAGTGGAGGGCTCTTGTGAACACGGTAAAGAACCTTCGGGTTCCATAAAGTATTGAGAATTTCTTGAGTAGCTGCACAACTGGCGGCTTCTCAAGAAGGGCTCAGCTCAATGAAGTTAGGTAGTGCTGATTAAATAAATAAAAAAAATATCACTGCAGCAATTTCTCCCTGTGTCAGAAGCTGAAATCCAGGGTTTCCTTCGTCCAGCTGAAGCCAATCCTGGGTATATTTGCTTGTGCGGGTTCAGTCTCTCCAGCTGCCCTCAACTCAGTCTGAGAGTCCTCTTGCCCCTAAATCCCACGTGTCTTTTTGTCACTAGCAATTTCTCCTTCGTCCAGCTGAAGCCAATCCTGGGTATATTTGCTTGCGCGGGTTCAGTCTCTCCAGCTGCCCTCAACTCAGTCTGAAAGTGATCTTGCTCCTTGCTTTGACCTGGGCGACGGAGCATACTTCTGCAAACGCGTCTCTGGCGTCACTCAGCATTTCCACACACACTAAAGACTTTGCGCAACAAGACGCTCACGGAAACGGAAACTGGAGCCGTAACATTTCCGGTGCCGCTAAATAGCAGAGTCTTTATTTTCTGTCCGTCCGTCGGCACAACAAATATGAGCTGGGATAGCTCAGTCGGTGTAGCGTCGGACTATGGGCCGGTCGGCCGGGGTTCGACTCCCGGCAGAGCCAAGGCTTCTCTCTTCTCCACAGCGTCGGGGCCCACATGGCTATCGGATACTTCTTTCCCGGCGTGAAGCTAACCATTCACCCTCTTCTAGTGCAACATTCATGCCTTGAGTGGGACTCGAACCCACGACCCCAGTGTTCGAGCGGCCCTGTGAAACAGTGGCCAAGTTCCATCACGGACTGTACTGTTATTATCAGCTGACAGCCGCACACGTCTCCTGACCTCCCTTGTTGTTCTTGCAGGAAGCAAGGAGACGGCCTTCGTATACGCGGTGACGAGTGCCGGGGTGGTGCACGCGGTCACCCAGGCCTGCAGCTCGGGCAACCTGACTGACTGCAGCTGCGACTCCACAGGCAAGGGACTGGAGACCCCCGAGGGCTGGAAGTGGGGAGGCTGCAGGTGAGACGTAGCTCAAACTGTGCTTATGTGCTCTGAAAGAGACAGGAAATTCCAGTGCCATCGATGCCACTTTAGTCCACACAGTCCTACCTACTGGCCTAACATCCAAATGCTTCTCGCTCCTCTAGAGATTGCAACGGAACGAATGTGAAATGCAGTTCAAGCTACATGTCCAGCAAATCATAACACCACTGATTCAACTGTTTAGCAGTGCTCGGCGACACACTGACACTGCTTTCGATATGCAATAATCGATTCGCCACTCTCTGATCGCTGTCAGGTTGAGAAACTTCCCCGAACATAATGAAACTGAAACTATAATTTTGCCTGTGGTTCTGTATGGGTGTGAAACTTGGTCTCTGACATTAAGGGAGGAACACAGACTGAGGGTGTTTGAGAACAGGGTGCAGAGGAGAATATATGGACCGGAGAGAGATGAAGTGACAGGAGGTTGGAGAAAACTGCATAATGAGGAGCTTCATAACTTGTACTCTTCTCCAAGTATAATTAGAATGATCAAGTCAATGAGGATGAGATGGGCAAGGAATGTAGCGCGAATGGGGAGAAGAAGAATGCATATAGGTTATTGATGTGAAATTCAGAAGGAAAGAGACCACTAGGAAGACCAAGATCTAAGTGGATGGATAATATTAAAATGGATCTTAGGGAGGTAGGCTGTGCTGGTATGGATTTGATAGATCTGACTCAGGATAGGGACCAGTGGAGGGCTCTTGTGAACACGGTAATGAACCTTCGGGTTCCGTGAAATCTTGGGAAATTCTTGAGCAGATGCACAACTGGCGGCTTCCCAAGAATGGATCAGCTCCATAATGTCAGTTATCAGTACATGTTCTTCCATCCAAGAAAAGGAAACTGTACGAAGTCACACAGAGAACAGCTAGAAGCAGCACAAGGCATGGCTTAAACTGATCAATATCCGTCATTTTAACAATCCACCCCTGTTACAGTCTGATTGTGAATCTCATTTTGAAGTTGGGCCACTTCACAGTACGACTCGCCCGAGTAATTTCCGGGTCTACCCAGATCTACATTCCTTATTGTGAAATGACGCCTGAAAGCCGGAATAGTCCACTGCTAGTCAACGACTCGCTAATGCACGTTTCCGTGACAAGCCGGAATATTACCATTGCTAAGCATCGGTTCGGTAAGCATGTTCTCGCTGCAACAAATAGCCGCGGAATAATCCTTTGCCGGGCAACGGTTCCCGCGGCAATGGTTAAGCACAGAAAAACAGAATAACAGAGGAGCTGTAACACTTACATTTGGTTCGCCCGAAGTTTAGGCACGGGCCTAGATATATATGGAAGGATAATATTAAAATTGATCGAAAGGGGAATATGGTCTGAGGATATAGAGAGAACGTTGCGGGCCCTTGCGAACTAACTATACCGACGAGCGACCGCCGCTTGTCGGCGAAGTTAGTGCCAACTTTTGCGAATAGAGGGTGTCGCGTTGTCAGCGCAACGAATCCCCACGGCCGTTAATTTCGGTTTTCTAGACCCGAGCAGCTATTTCCTTGAAATAGCTCCTCAGTTATCCTCACGAGGCTGAGTAGACCCCGTTCTAGACCCACTACTTCTCAGAAAATCTGGTAGCTCCTGGAATCGAACCCGGACCTCTGGTTCTGCAGCCAGGAACTCTAACCACTAGACCACAGAGGCGGTCAGCATAATTAAATGTAGCCTACATATCTATAGACTTACGTATATGCATAGTAATTCTGGTGAGAGGACGCTTGGTTTGCAAGAGGCTCCTCGAAACTCGAGTTCGGAATGGATGGCCTTGGAGGCGGAGTAAGAACAGGGACGTTTAGAGATTTATGTGGAGGTATGAATTATGATTAGATTCTAAAGGGTTCTGACGATGGTGTATAACACCCAGAATTACTGGGCCTTTCGGACTTTCTGTCTTCTGGTTTCGAAAACTGGATCTGTTTCCATCCTCAGATAACGGAGAGAGACGCCTACTCTGCTGTGTCCCTTAGAAAGAGCTGACCTCAATCACTGGGGAAACAGATCCAGTGTCCGAAACGTCGTGTTCTCTAGTTTTACAGTGCCCGGACGATCGACAAAGTTAAAAGAAAAACGTGTAATTCTGAATTTATGACCGCTTGCCATCCTGCAATTACTCAGCAAATGGTAAGGGCTGTGGCCTGCTCATTCCTACAGCATTTTCAACACGTGCAAGAGTTTCTTCTTTTTGCTGTTGAGTGTACGTGGGGCTAGTAAGATTAGGCAGATGGGAACAGACGAGCCATTAGTTTCTTCTTTTTGCTGTTGAGTGTACGTGGGGCTAGTAAGATTAGGCAGATGGGAACAGACGAGCCATTAGTTTCTTCTTTTTGCTGTTGAGTGTACGTGGGGCTAGTAAGATTAGGCAGATTGGAACAGACGAGCCATTAGTTCCTTCTTTTTGCTGTTGAGTGTACGTGGGGCTAGTAAGATTAGGCAGATTGGAACAGACGAGCCATTAGTCCCCGCTAATAATTCCGGCAGAACTGATTCAAGCAAGGTCTGAGTTTGATTCCATGTGGATATAGAAGGAAGTGCCTACGCACAGGAGCGAGTCTATCACCGTGGCGATTTACAAGATAGTTATCTAGGGATATCGTCGTTATTAATTTTATACATAAATGTATCCAATATCTTTTCCTCAACTGCCTCTAGTTTTGTCTCAAGAGACAAGTGACTCAACCGCCTTCCTAAATGCCGTACTCAACTGTGAACAGCATTTTCACATTTCGATCCGGATTAGCGAAGGTTTACAGTATGTTCCCATAAGGTTGGCAACGCTGAAGTGAAGAGAGATTGTCTAGGGGTGTGAACGTAGAAGTGCTGAAAACAGGGTCCTCAGCGCTTCAAAATATTTGTAAACATCTCCACGCGCAAACATGTATTTCAACAAATGAAAAGTGTTTTTCACCAAGTTTCGTCACAAGCTCTCACCGCTGTGCTCCTGCTTCCTCTGATAGCGCTGCAGCATGTGGTGCAAGTGCAACAGCGGGATAAGTCTCACGTGAGCTGCACAAGCTGTGTTTGTTTTCTTGTTCTGCACGGACGAAATACCTTGCAAGTGGCTGAAGACTGGTGAATAAAGCAAAGCACACTTCATGACCATCTGGCTCTAATTTGCTTCATAAGAAAACATCTTAATCCAAATTTTCTCCATATTTGGATTACATATAAGATGTTTAGATAATAAAAATATTGTCACATGCATGACCGAGTATCGACGGGGCTTTGGACGAGAGACTGGATTTAACGCACGACTCGTGAGAACACTTATACACTTTTAAAGATTACCACAGCACACGCAAAGTCTTTTCAGTCTGCTGTGTCTTCACCAGTTATTCCCTGGTAACGGCTTCTAACAATGGAGATTCTTAAACTTCCGTTCTCAACCTCACCGACTAAGTCTTCTGTTCACAGGCTCCCTTCCAACTGACAAACTTGAGTCTGAGACTTATGTCAGGATCAACGGTCAGTCTGCCAGTCTCTTCTGGAATAAAGTTCCCATCTGGGGCTTAAAAACACATTTTTATTGCTGTCAGACAGTTGCGGGGTTGTTGAAGTGGGGCGCTCTCTCCGACGAGAAAACCGGTCTACTGCTGGCCCTCGCCAGCATAGTCATTATCGAGTTCGAGTCCCATGGAACTCGCGACCATATTTTACTGTCGAGACTTCCATTTTCATCGCCCCCTACGACCCACAGGGCAACGGTGGAGGTATTCGACCCCGCCTCCGCACTGGAGTTCTCCAACTGACTAACTTCCAAACCCGTCTGGGTTATAATATCTCGGCATGGACCGTGTACAAAACACCTTTCATTGTTGTACTACAGTCGTTTCCGTGAGAACGGGTTTATCTGCGAAGGCGTTACTCAGTGACGGCTGCGTATATTTGCTTATTAAGAATCTGTTGTCTAGCAGCGGATGTAGATTCGTTGTTTTTGATGTCGTTACCCAGTAACGGACCTATACGCTATAATATTGTAAAGCGCGTTTATACTGACCAATTTACCATTTCATCAAATATAATTGATCGGTAATAGTGCCTAATGGCTACAGATTCCACCGAAACGTCTGTAATCAAGACATTCGGCCATTAATTGCGGAATCTCTTGCAGGACCTGCCCCGCTTCGGGCACCGAAATGCCTCTGTTTGTCGGGATTCGGAGAAATCGGAATCTCCTCTCATTTCCGGTCCTTTTCGTTTCCTCNTCCCCCCCCCCCCCCCCCACACAAAAAAGCTCAACCTTTTCCCTCCCTTCTTCCTGAGCGTGTTCTGTCCCCCCTGAAGCGATTATGAAATTATTAATTATCGCTGTCTCCTCCTCACTTATTTCTTCTCCCGTTGGAAGGATTAGCCCCAAAGAGTCGTTTAGAGGCCAATTCAATTGCTTTTGTCATTTGTTTCTCGGTCTTCCCTTGTATCATCTTATCAGACTGTAAGCTGCAAGCACGTCTTCAGATTACCTTCTCCGTACATCTCTTCTGCCCTGTGATTGGCTTGTAATCCTTCTTTCAGTCCAGTTCCTCGTATCGAACTCTGAAGTCATCCTTGTTTGGTTGCCACTTTCCATTTTACTTTTGTGGATCATAATGCAGTCTTGATTTCCTTTCTCACATCTTTTCCGAAGCATTTTCCGACGCACACAGAGTCGCATGAGGAATTCGAGAAGCCCGAAGCTATGATAAACAGGTCAACCGAACATGCGGGCTGACGCCTTGCAGAAGCCTGTCACATCTCACTGATCTGCTCTGTGAGGCAGTTTGCAAATCCTCGTGTGCCCTACCGGAAGATGCCAGGAAGTATGAGATCTGTGATTCAAGAAAAGCGCTACCGGTTTGGAAGATTTAGTGCAGTCTTCTCAAGCCCCTTATGATGCTCCACTTTCAAGCAAGACTAAATACTGCACTTACACACAGTAACAGCTCCACCTGCCCTGAATACAGTTCACGGCGAGGTGAAAATGTACCG